GGGGAGAGAAAATAAATATCCCCATCTCGGAGAGCTCTCAAGCTGCAAGGGGAAAACGGGAGGCCGGTTCCTACCCCCGCGACCGGGATGTGCCGGCTCTGGAGGAGGAACCCGGCTCTTCGCACCCTCCTCGGCCCCGAATAAAGTGCCAGGCCCACAAGAAACGGTTCCGAAGGGAATGGGGGGGGGCGGTTAGGAGATCCGAGACCCCTGCTCCCCCCCCAAAAATGGAAGGGAGCGCGAGGAAAGGACAGGGGAAGACGGCGGGTTAAAGCGGGGTCGACTCCGGGTCCAAACACCAGCCGAAGGGGCGTGAAGATGCTCAGAAGGTGAATCCCAAGAAATCCAGGCACCTGGGCACAACTGGGATACGAAAGCCGACCATTTTGGAAAGATGACGATGGGAGTTTCAAGAAGCCAAGAGCGCTCGCTCCTCGACGTACAGACCCATCCCCGGCGAGCTCCGCGTCCGAAGAGCCAAGACGCACCTCAAAACTCAAACCGTGGGCACGACACGGGTGGAGAGCGCGCTGGAAAGCTGCAGGTGCCGACCGGGAAAGGGAGAGAGGAGCTCCTAGCAGCGGAAAACGCCTCCGAGGCGGATCCTTCCCTATTCCAAACAAAACCAGCTTCGGATCGGTGCGGCGCCGACGAGATCCCGGGGAAGGAGCTGACAGGAGGTGGAGGGAAGAGGTCTTGTGAGCAAGCAGGTGCAAAAAGACAAGTGCAGCGTCGGATCCCAAAACGGGATCCGAGGGATTCGAGGCGGGGGAAAAAAAAAAAAAGAGCGGGGCCTTGTGCACGGCCGGATCCCAGGGCGAGGCCGGATCCGACGCAGATAGAGGCGGCCGGCGGGGAGGCGAGGGATGGCCGGTCAGGCGCAGATTTTGATGCGGGTGCCCTTGGCCAAGATGCGAAAGAAGGGGAAGATGCGCTCGTGGAAGGAGGCGTTGAAGGTGTGGATGTGGGTCATGCTCTCGGCGTTGTAGAAGCAGAGTTGACCCCGTTCGTAGTCCAGGTAGACGCCGAAGCGCCGGGGCCGTTCGCTGGGCGACAGGGCCGTCTGCTCCGTAGCCGTCAACGCCTGGTACTTCTTCCCGTTGGTGCCCACGCACCAAATTTCTCTTTTTTGGTGAGGACCCACCGTCTTCTCTTTGCGACGAGCCGTTTCGCGGGCTGCGCCCACCGCCCAACCTCGTCGGCCTCCCACTTCTACCTCCCAGTAGTGACGGCCGGTGGTGAAGCCCTGGGAACCCAGCACGCAATAATCCGAATCGAAACGTTTGGGGTTGTCCGGCAGATCCTGGCGGCGTTCGCCCAGTTTGACGCTGCGTCGGTCCAGGGAGAGGCTCAGGCGAGGGTGGGCTGTGTCGGGGTCCAGGGTGACGTCGGCTGGAAGGGAGACGGGGACGTCAGGGGGTCACTGGTCACCTCTACCTCCCCGTAAATCCCAATCCCAAGATTTTTCCCCTCCTCTTAGTTCCCAACCCCAAATCCTCACCCACGTGTGTATCTGCAGCACCAGTGGCTGATAGCCCCCCGCCGTGGGTCTGTCCTCGGTTTTTTCAGGG